TCTGTGAAAAAATATTTTTTTCTGTCTTTCTTTTTATTGCACATTCTTCAAAATATCTTCTTTTGTGTTCAGCAGAAGAAAGTAAGTCATGCAGGTTTGGAACAACATGAGTAGATGATGATGGCAGAATATACATTTTTGGGTTAAGCATTTCTGAATCTTTCTGAATCATTACATTTCCTTCCAATTCCCATTCTTAATTCTTTAGTAGCACAAATCAGGAGCGGTTGTGATGGACTAAATAGACATTAGAGTTAAAATTCTCCACATTTTTATGCATGCTTTAGTCAGCAAGGAGGCCTCAGGCTCAAACCATAGTACAAAGTGATTCTGAGACCATAATGGGATATATGGCTTACATACTGTGAGTTCTGCCTGTGAACTTGCCATCACCATGGAGACTCTTTTCATCTGCTTGCAGTCTACGTGAACGATTGGTTAAGCCTTCAGGAGATCTCATTGGTTTGTTGGGTTTATGCACTTGCAATGGCTCCTTCAAAGGAGCCTTCAAGTATCTTCCAAACCATGCCTTCTGCTACTAAATCCCTTGCTAGGATCTACATTTGACCTATCAAGCTGCACAAAACCAGCCCTTACCCATTATCTCTGGAACCATCAGGAATATTTTGCGCTCTCACTGGGGGGCCCATTGGCATTTCTCCAAAAACGTGCCATTGAGAAAAATGGCCACATCCTCTTATTGTTTGCTTGAACTTGTTCCATCTCCAGATCAAGCCTACATTTCCGCTGAGTAATGATTATCTCTATTCAGGCTAAATGGCAGGTCATAAGAGCTCTGTGAGGAATGGCTGTTGTCAGAGCGTTCTTCAACCGTGGAAGAGGATCTCGCCCTTCACAGTCTTGAAAAAACCACTCCGTGTGCTCTCATGTCTTTTGAGGCCAAATCCCAACATCTTTTTAGGGCTTAAAGGCTCTTCCTTCCAGATTTATGATATTGATGGAACGGTGCCTAGAGGCTCAAATCAATCAGTTTTTAGTCAAAGAATCATCCAGTACGATTATCTAGTACGTTATGTCGATGTTGTTTTGTTGTGATGTGCGTCCTTTTTAGACAAAGGATTTGGACAGATGCAATGACTTCTGTTTCTCGTCAGGATCCCCCCTCCACTCCTGACAAAACAACATGCAATACCAGTGCAACAGCGTAAGCCTTGGCAATGAGAAAATGCAATAGTCTGGTAAGATTTAAATGAATAAAATAACACTGAAACAAACAAGTCTGTTACTGTGCCTCTCATACTTTAATGCTATTATCCTATTTCATGCTGAACCACCCTCTTGAGGATGAAAAGTGCACGGTTTAGCAAATCCCATGAGGTTTTGTGAAATTTGTTTGTGACAGTGTTATGGATGTGGGCTTGCTTATCTGCTTTAACAGGGAAACTGTAATAGTGGAACACGAAGCACAATGATAGATTAATTCTCAGATATTTCCAAACCAGCATTAAAGGAAAGAAACACTCGATAGTCAGCTGACTTCAAAGACAAGTTCCTAACAGTGTTTTTTTTAACACTGATTTAGCATGTAAACATTGCAATACACAAACAAATATTGGGTAAAATAGTCAGTTTTTAACCCTTTTTTAATTAAATAATTTTTAGTATTTTAAAAGTAACATTGACGAAATTGAACTATTGTAAAATTTAACTTTTTCTTGATGTGTTTGATGCCATGCTTATTATTTATTTATAAAAAAAGAAAAATATGTGGTTGGTTTATTTTTAAACCATTGTTGATAATGTTTGTGAATAAAATTAATATAGTTTTATTCACATATTTGTATACAAATAAATGAGCAATAAACATTAATAACAACATCAAGAAAAACAGTAACTCACTCTAATATGTAAACTCATAATTTTGTACTTATTTCAAAATACTTCAAGTAATCAGTTTACTCATTATTTATGTGAGTACTTAACTGCAACCCTGTATTATTTCATCACCATTATTTCATAATTTAACTCTTTACAGCAGATACTTGCCAATAATATTGCACTTCATATTTCCTTTGCTTGTTGCATCATTCTCTCTTTCTGCTTGAATCTTCATATTACACTAGCAACCCACCGGTCCCTCGTGATGTAAGCTCTCTTGAGGCCTGAACTCATTCAGATTCAGTCTTTTCTCTCCCATGCACCCAGTGCTGTTCTTTTCACCCATCTTGCTTGGCAACAGAATGTTTCAGCATCTGTTATCGTGACTCAAAAACTCTCTGTTTTTAGTGACGCAGTGTACCTTACCATAGATTACTCAGACGGAGTAGGAGTAAACCTTTCTCCCAGATTTGAGGAGAAAGCCAGTGTTTCGTCCTACAGTAGGTCAAGAACTGAGGCGCTGTGATGTAATGTAATGATCTCCATGAGTCACTTCCTGCATGTCCTTTTTGTTTGTCTCATCACAATCACAAGTGAGAGTCTGAAGGAAACGGAGGGAGGGAACGTTCTTGGCCAGCATTTGCAGTGGCAGCTAGATCAGTTTGTTCTGGCTCCTTTGAGGAATAAAAATGTACGTAGATGTTGATGTGGTGCACTTCCTTCCGATTGGTGCATCATTTCTGCAATATAAAATGTCTGACTATTGACTAGTTAATTTTTTGATAATATCACCCTTATGCCACTTCAAACCAAGCTTGGTTAGCATGAATCCAGTTCATTCGAACCAAATACCATTGGTACTTGGCTTGCATGTAATCGAACTTGGTGATCCAAGTTTGATAGTGTGTAAGTGTGAATATGAACTTTCTATTTACAAAAAAAAGTTAATTTTTTACAAAGAATTAACAGAAAATTGGGGTGTATGATAGAAATTTGTGTATTTTGATGTGCTTTTTTGTTTTCAGAATTACATTTTGGAATGTAAGGAACAATATACAATTATTTTTTAATTAGGAAAATACCATATGCATAAGAGGTGTATGGAAGCTTGTTTCCGCCATAGGATGAAAAAAGTAATTGCTACTTTTTATCTCACAGTTCGGACTCATTAACTTCTGAAAAAAGTAGTCAGAATTATAACTCCCAATTGTGAGATAAACTTGCAAATCTGAGAACAAAAGTCTGAATTGGGATATATAAACTCGCAATTGCAAGGGAAAAAGTCTGAATTATGAGAAAGTCACAATTACCGTTTCTTTTTTTTCTATCAGAGGCAGGAAAAAACACAATTGCATGAGATTAACTCGGAATTGCAAGAAAGTCAGTCATAATTCTGCAGAAATCTCGCAATCCTGACTTTTTTCCCCTCAGAATTGCACATTTATATCTTGCAATTCTGTATACATCTGAGTTAATTTTAAAAATGACTTGATACTTAAACTTTTTTGAGCAAGCTAAAAACAAACAACAACAAAAACACTGAAAACACATTTTTAAAGGACTGAAATTTGTGTAACGTTTTTTGTTTGTTTGGCAGCTGATGTTGTTAATAATGTGGCTATATAATACCTCTTGTCCTTGTGGCATTGGAAAAAAAAACACAAAACCCCAAATTTTCCCAGTAGGAAGGCTAATTTACATCTTTTGATGTAGACACACCATTGCCACTCAATGCTGCCATTTCCCACACTTGTTTCCAACACAAACACACTCCCTTCCCCCGTTCACTTCATGTCTCATGCCCTGGAGCCCAACCATATGTAACCTCACATCTGGAGTTCTGGTTTAGCCAAGCCTGTCTGGGGTTAAACATAATCGACCGTAGATGACCCAGTCTGGAGTTACTCCTCGGTCACTGCAGAATCTGTTCAGTCTTTGGCAGGATTAGATTTCAAGCGTGGTTTGGAACGTTTTACAGTTTAATGTGTGCTATATGCGATAATCGAGGCTACTAAGTTTGTTCGAAAAGCCACTGAACTCTTCAGTTGTGGGGAATGTTTTAATAAGCTCCTTCAGCAACTTTGCTTATTGTTTGATGAACATTTAGCAACTTATGTTTAGCATTGACGTTAAGTACCATGCAGCCTAACAATGTCATACAAGATCTTGTCCTCCTTCCTCAAATCTATTTACTTGGCTAAAACAGGTTTTATGTGTAATAATCAGTGCTTCGTTAAAAAATGATGGCAAATCATCTTATGTTGTTCATAATCATGGAAATATGCTAATGCTGAAAATGGTCATAAAACATTTCCCGTTCTGTCTGGTAAGAACAGCTGTTTTGGTTAGCAAGAGCATGATAACATGCTTTTTTAATCAGACTTTGAGAAAGGTAGCTAGGATCTTCTTCATTAGCTAGACCTGTCTGAAAAATACTGTTTTTAGCTTTAATTGAGACAAGAAGCACAATACAAACTAACATTCAGAAGTTTGGGGTCATGATTTTTTTTTTTAATTCATTAAGGATGCATTAAATAGATTTTTTTTAAAGCAGCAAGTATATTTATATTGTTACAAAAGATTTCTATTTAATATAAATAAATGTTGCTCAAATATTCCAGGAAAAAAGTATCACACTTGCCATAAAAATATTAAGCAGCACAACTGTTTTCAACATTGATCATAATGACAAATGTTTCTTGATTGGCACATTAGAATGATTTCTGAAGGATCAAACATTTCTGAAGTGACACTGAATACTGGAGTAATGATGCTGAAAATTCAGCTTTACCATGACAGGAATAAATTACATTTTAACACATTCAAATAGAAAACAAGTATTTTAAATTATAAAATATATATTAATATTATTGTAATACTTCACAATATTACAATTTTACTGTCTTTTTGATCAAATAAATGCAGCCTTGGAAAGCATAAGCACTTCTTTAAAACACATTAAAAAAAACCTTACCAACCCCAAACTTTTAAACAATGCATGATACCTTTTTTTTCAGATTTTACTCCTTATACAATTAAGATTTTGGCCTAACTTACATCACAGATTCATTGGTCATTGCAACATACAGTATCCTCAGAAAACTATTTAATGTGTACAAATCTTTTAAACAAATAAAAATTGACATGTTATTTTCTTGCAGCTGTGTTGAGGTAGAAGAGCACCATGCTGTGGACATAGACGTTTACCACTGTCCCAGCTGTGACGTCCACCATGGACCATCTCTGAGTACGTATCCACTTTTTGGACTTTTTTTTTTATAAGACTAATCAGATGGAGACTGGAACTGGTTTAAGAGGATTCACAGTATGTCTAGTCAGCTGAACCGTTGTGATCAACAAGCAGTGGTGCACAACAGATGTTTGTGGCATTGTGGTAGTCTAGTGATGACTGCGTTATTGTTCTGAGGCCAGCCATATTGAATTCTCTCTGCCTGAATTTACAGTGAAGAAGCGAAGAAACTGGCACAGACACGACTACACCGAGCCAGATGACGGCAGTAAGCCAGTGCAGGCTGGCACCTCTATGTTTGTGCGGGAGCTGCAGACAAGGACCTTTCCCAAGTACGTGTGCCAGCTGTGGGAAACCAACACCATCATGACAAAGCACTCCAGCACTTGGTGCTGCTCATTATGCCACATTATACATATGGGCACAACTAATGTTCTTCTTTGAAAACCAGTGATTATTGTGGCATTTTCTAGAAATCTGTTTAGTGCGAGTCAGGACTAAAGTTAAAGAAATACTTTGCTCTTTGAAGCTTCACAAAGAATACAAAAGACCCATAAAAGTTGTCCATACAACATGTACAGTACACTAATTTTCAGCAGCCATAAATCCAGTCTTCAGTGTCTTACAATCGTTCAGAAATCATTCTAATATGCTGATTTGGTGCTTAAAGGGGTCATCGGATGCGAAATTCACTTTTGTTGTTGTTTGAACATAAATGTGTGTTGGAAGTGTGTGTACACATCCACCCTATAATGATAAAAATCCACCCAGTGTTTTTTTTTTTTTTTTTTAAATCCCTATTTTTAAATCCCCTTTCTCAAATCAGGCTGTTCTGAAGTTCCTGTCAGAATGACGTAGTTCTGTACAGGCCCCATTTCAGCACAGACTGGACTGGTGTCTTACCTTAGACCCACCCTGAGTGAGCTGTGAGCTGTCCGCCATTGTGTCGACTGCGGTGCAGGGGAAGACAAGAATGTCTCCGATTAAGCCATTGAGGTGTTTTGTTGTTGGATGTAATAATGAATATAGCAGTCGTCATTTACTCCAGACATCTGAGCCGCTGAAGATGCAGAGGATTAACGTTACTTTCGTTTTTGAAGTGAATGCGCTTACCCCCGATCTGCCTAAATGCGTCTATGTTTGCGCGAATCATTCGTGATCCAGCTTCATCTACAGTAGAAGTGAGTATAAGGGTTTTTTATGAATCTTTGCAAATCGCCTTTCCTTATAACGTGCTAGTTAGCAAGTTCCGTCGCTAAAGTAAACGGTATCATGAGAACGGCTCGTCACCCATGGAAGAGAGGGGCGGGGTCAGCAGAGGTCATTAGCATTTAAAGCAACATGGACTAGAACCGTGTGCTGAAAACAGAGCTGATTTTGACAGGGTAAAAAGGGTGTTTTTTGCACTACCATTGAGAAATTTTAACCAAAGTATGTTATAGACTTTTCATTAAGACCCTAAATAATCATATCAACTTGGCATCCAACGACCCCTTTAAGAAACATTAATTATTTCCAGGATTCTTTGATGAGTACAAAAAAATTCAAAATAACAGCATTTATTTAAGAAAGAAATCAACTGAGCTCTAAACCATTATATTTGTACATTGGACATTGATACTTCTTTCATAAATACACTGAAACAGCTTGGGCATATTCAAGAATTTCAGAGAATAAACTTTTTATTTTTTTCAATTCTTGCTTGAATAGTTTGTGCTTCTTGTTGCTCAGATCTGCTCTCTAATCAGTAATTCTCCTGTGTTTTAATCTGCAGTGGAGATGAGATCTTGCAGCCAATGCAGGGCAGTCAGGTCACCCAGAGGTATCTGGAAAGGTATGGCTTCCGCTATCCCATCGCTGTACACAAAATGGAAGGGCTCGGCCTCTGCTTACCTCCACCAGATTTCTCCGTCAAGGATGTTGAGCGCTATGTCGGTAAGGAGGGAGAATGGAATCAGTTACTGTCATGCTTTTCACCCGGTTTCTTTCACCTTTACCCATTGTGCTCTACATTATAGCCATTGAGCAGCAGTGCTTCATGGGTTTAAATATTAATTCCATTAAGAGTTGTCTTCATGTAATGGAGTTGGTTTACAGTCAAGCCACTGCGGAGATCAGATGTTAATCTTAGGTGAGTCAGATGGGTCTAACATTTTAGCAAACATTAATCAACCTGTAATGAAATAAGAGTGCAGATAAAAGTGGTGTTCCTTACACCAGCCTAGCAGGCCTCATCTCATTGAGAGCCTGGTCCTTATAGTGTCTGGTTACACAGTCTGTATATCTTCCCCACTGAGCTTTGTCTGTAAAGTTTAGGTTACAGCTCACTCCTCTACCTCTCACATTTGTGTGTATAATGTATTATCGCGATACACACCGCGATCAGCTGCTCCATTTGGGTCCTGAGGGGGTACCTGCGGCCCACTGGGAATGGAAGTGTGATTATATTGGACTTAAAGTAAGGTGACAAAAGGTTTGCTACTGCTGCACCTTCTGGTGACCCCATAACTTCTGTCAGGTTGCTACTAATGTATTTAGACATTTAAGCTAGCAACCCGCTAAGCGTTTTCTTTTCACAGATTTGTAAAAGTTAGCCTCATTTACCTGGAATTCACACCGAATAATATTGTGTGACCCAACAAATATGGTTCAAACTTTTTGTCACAACCTCTTTATCCCCGATTTCCTCTGTAAACACTTTAGCACATTTCTAATATTAGCACAAAATGCTAATTGTTGACATTTTCGCTCTAAATTCTGCAAAAACATGCTGGCAAAATTAGCTATTGAGATGCAAGACAGAGAATTTGTGAAGAATGTCAGAGATGCTTGTCTTTACAGTTTTCTAAGCAACGTAAGTGTGACTTTTTAGCAACAACCATCAATAGGTGCGACATTCCTTAAGCTGCATTCACACTAGCAGCGTTTTCTTGCAGTTAAATAGAAACATATTGGAGGCAAAAGACTAAATATAATATAATATATAAATCTGTACGTAAAAACAAAAATGAATGAGAAACAGTGCTTGCTCTTTTCCATCGCGTATGTTTATCTACGGCAAAAACGCAAACAGCGTCACTGCCAGAGCTGAGAGGAGAACGATCACATGAGCTCTACCATCTTCTTTCCTATTGGCTGTCACTCCCAAAAGTCACTCTTCATTTGCATAAAGTTGAAGGATTCTCAACTTTGTTCCGTCACTGGAGATGCCCCATCCGGTCGCCAATGGTCGCTGTTGCTCGTGTCGCCGGAAATCGCCAGCTCTGAATTGAAATGAATAGGATCGTGTCGCTTTGACATTGCGTGTCGCTTGTAGTGTGAATGGGGCTTTAGTGTCAATTCATTTCAAGTTGGTTTCTAAACAGTGGCCCATCAAAATTAAGTTCAGGTTTTCATTTAGCTGAAAACTGGAACTGAAAATAAAATTTTGGTAATAAAATTTTGGTAACTGGATAATTGAACTCTTTTTGCTGTTCAGGGTTTCGTATACTCGGGTGATAAATTAAACCAGTTGTAGTAAAGTTCTTTGGCAATGATCTCTCTATATATTAGAACAAATTTTACAGGTACTTTAGCATAATTTTTGGTCACAGTAAAGTGCATCCATACTGCTAACCTGTTGTAGCTTATCCATGTTAGTACGAAATAGACACTGAAACAGTCAAAACTCGTCATTGGCACTAATAAAACATCAGTCAATGTTTTCAGCCTGTTTAACTATTTTGGCCCAAACTGATTTCTTGTTTTCAGGCTGAATATTTTTAGTCACCAAAATGTTGGTGCATTCCCATTATTTATTCTATTTAGCGTGCAAAGGATAAAGCTTAAATGAATTGAAATTTAAGAAGTGTGCTATTTTAAGTTGAAAGTCTGACAACATGCCTGCCAAAAAAAAAAAAAGTTATGAGTTTTAAAGTTAACTGCAGTGACGTTACGTCTGGAGCTCGCACTAAAAGCTCTAGCTTTCGTCCAGGCTAGCTGCCCAGCTAATTCAGTTACTTCAATGGGCAACTTGCCTGCATGGCTCTCCAGCCAACAAAATTGAACACTGTGGGGGTTTTTTTCTACATTGCCATTTGCTTATAATGACGAACCACACTCTCCACCTGCTTTTGTGAAAGCCTCTTTTGTCCCTCATTGCTTTGGAAACGTGCTTTTGAGATCATAAAAGACATTTTATGTCTCCAGAGCTATTAAAATGTTTGTTGTTAGTGGATAAAAGGAGTAATTAATAGCATAAATGCTTTAATTTATACACATGTAAACACTTTTTACAGTCTTGGAGCTTGGGGTGCTTGGATTTTTAAATCAAACCTATATTTGTTGTAGCCACCAGTGTGCATTTGAATCCATAAAGGATCCAGTAGACATTTTTATTGGCAGTGTTGCAAGTCATGTTGATGTACCTGATCCCAGAACAGCAATAAATTATCTCTTTATGGTCTTCTTTGTGGGATGAGTCTGTTTCTGGCTAGACACACTAGGGTGCCGTTTGTGTACACAAGCACCAGCTGTCCTGCTTTGTGTTTCTGATGGGTTCTGATGTTCTTCCTGCCAGTTGTCTCTCTCACAGTCATAAACATCAGCTGATTTCTTGTGAAGGAACATCAAATGAGCAGATCTTTCACTGGAGCATCTGAGGAGAGATAGCCCTGGGAAACTTTTTAGTGCCAAAAGGCAGTCATTCTTTTATTTAAAATATGCTTTATGGCCATTTAATGATGTTGATTATTGCAATTTATCCTGTTGAGTTTGTTTGGGTAATGATATTTGTTTTTGGTTGCTGTTCCTTTGATGCCCGCACATGCACATCACTCAACTTGCTCCCTTTGCTTACAGGAGGCGACAAAGTGATTGATGTCATCGATGTGGCCAGGCAAGCAGACAGCAAGATGAAACTGAGTGCATTTGTCAAGTATTACTACAGCCCTCAGCGGCCCAAAGTCCTCAACGTCATCAGCCTGGAGTTTTCAGACACCAAGTTAGTATTGTTTTAAAGCGCCGAATTTGTTACGGCTGATGTTGAACGCAAAGGTGCTTTTCCTCAGTGTGGAGAAATGTTCATTGTGATTCCAACATTGCACTCAGGATGTCAGAGCTGGTGGTGGTCCCTGATATCGCTCAGAAGATGTCTTGGGTGGAGAACTACTGGCCTGATGACTCTTACTTTCCCAAGCCCTTTGTGCAGAAGTACTGCTTAATGGGCGTGAAGGACAGTTATACCGACTTCCATATTGATTTTGGGGGCACATCTGTGTGGTACCATGTCCTGTGGGTAAGTGCACATTATGAGCGTTTGAACTTTCTATTCATTAGAGAATCTTGACAAAAAAATGTATCATAGTTTCCATAAAAGTTTAAGCTGTACAGCTGTTTTCAAAATCAGTAATGCCTAATTGCCCTCACGGGAATAAAGTACATTTTATAATGTATATCAAAATAGAAACCAGTTATTGTAAATTGTAGTAATATTTCACAATATTACAGTTTTTACTGTATTTTTGATCAAATAAATGCAGGCTTGGTGAGCATGAGAGGCCTTTTTCAAAACATTAAAAATCTTCTGACCCCAAACTTTTGAATGATACTGTACCTTATTATTTAAAAAATAAATAAATAAATAAAATAGAAATTGCTGAATTATTTGACACCAACTAGAATATAGGGATAATAAATTACTTCTTAATTCTCTTCCCTGTAGGGGGAGAAGATTTTTTACTTGATAAAGCCCACCCCAGCCAACCTTGCACTATATGAGGAGTGGAGCTCGTCTCCAACCCAGAGTGAAGTGTTTTTCGGGGAGAAAGTGGACAAGTGCTACAAGTGTGTCGTCCAGCAGGGAACAACACTTCTGATCCCTACAGGTTAGTACATTATTTTATTTTAATAAAAAATAAAATTATTTAATTATTTATTGATTATTTTAAATGGTGATAAATTAGCATTCTTATCAAATAAAATGGCATAATTTTTTTTTTTCTTGCTGAAGTTCTAAAATAAATTCTATTTGTATTATGTATTGTCATGTCATTCACATGAGATTGTAATAGCAAACAACAATGATCCAATCGATTTCCAAAGGACAAAATCAAGTCACGCCTTACATTTCCTTTCTTGTTTGAGAAGCTGTTTTACTCTGTATACATCACAACAGGGAAGAAAAGATGATCACAACTTCAGCTTCATGCTGACTTTAAGCCAACTTGGCATAGCAACAGGCTTTACCAATGGTGTGAGTTTGGGTCGGGGCTACTGTTTGAGTGAAAGCCTGCTTAAAAACAGTCATTATTTTATTTGCTAGTAGTGCAAAAAGTAAGTATTATGTTTATCTCAGGACTTTTTACTGACAACCGATGTTGGCTCAAGAGGAACTGTAGAGCAACTGGTATTCCACTTTGTAGAGCAGCTGTCTTTAATGGCAGTTCCACAGGAAAGTCGGGGCTGATTTGTGCTCTTCGTTTCAGGTTCAGACGTAGCAGGAACAAGCAGAAACTCTTACCACCCAGAAAGCCACATGAATCTTAGCAATGTGTTATCCAGTCTGGTACTAATGGTTCATTAGTGAAGCTCCAAACCCTTTTTTGAGTTACAGTACTCATATGAACATCCAGTATTATATCGTCATCATGACTTCATATCATATATGAAGTCATATAATAAGGTATATATGGGTGGCATCATAAATCTGAATGTTTTATGAAACCCCACACTCAAAATGAGCAGGTCAGGATACGTGGTCTTCAATGAATCTGGTTCCCAGCTGTGTTGATGACACTAGCAGACCAGTTTAAGACCGTGAGATTCTGCACGTCCCCCGCTGTGAGACAGACTTCAAAAGTCCTACAAAACCTACGGTATTAAAGTTGCTCATTGTCGGGGCTCTGCCTTTGAATCTAATGTATATTTATGCATTCCAACCCTTCGCGTGTGGCCTATATGTTTGAGCGTAGACAGGACGTTGTGGATGTAGTTGACAGACTGGTTGTTTGGTGGGCTCTGCAATGGTTTTGAAACACTCTGGGGGTTTGATTCAGCTCAGCAGATCTCAGTTAGCCATATAATCGCTGCAATGGATGGCCCACCCAGCACATGTATGTCAACTTTTGGTTGCCATTATGTTGAAAGTTCTGTGCATTTATACAGTTTGGTGTACAAGCATGTTTTTTAGGTGTTGGTGTGATATTACTATGAATTGAAAGTCTAAAAACATTTTTTGTGGATTTTGTGAAATCTTCCTCGGTCCAGCTTTGCTGTACAGCAGATATGAATGGCTCACTGTCGGCTAAGAGACCGCTGCAGTTCAGACCAGATGTCTGGATGTGTTTGCATCTGTCGGTCAGCTGTTGACACATTCATGACCTCTCTTGCAGGATGGATACATGCTGTTCTCACCTCTCAGGATTGCATGGCTTTCGGAGGAAACTTCCTCCACAACCTCAACATAGGCATGCAGCTCAGGTGAGTGAGCACTTTCACTTTTTAAAGACTTCATTTAATCAGAATTGAAGTGCTGTGGCTTTTTATTTATTCTGTTAGCTTTGAAAAAAAAAAGTGACATGACGTGACGTTTAGCCAAGTATGGTATCCCATACTTGAAATTTGTGCTCCTGCATTTAACCCATCCGATTGCGCACACACACAGCAGTGAGTAGTGAACACACAAAGAACACACACCCGAAGCAGTGGGCAGCCATTTTTGCTATGGCACCCAGCTCAGGGAGCATTTGGGGGTTCGGTGCCTTGCTCAAGGGTCTCACCTCAGTTGTGGTATTGAGAGTGGAAGAGCGCTGGTCATTTACTCCCCCCATCTACAATCCCTGCCAGTACTGAGACTCGAACCCGTGACCTTTGGGTTACAAGTCGGACTCTGATTTTAGCATATATACATGTTTTTTGTTTATTTTTTTACTTGTATACATATTTTTATCCCAGAAATTATCTTCTAGAAGGAAATGTCCTTAACAGCATATTATTATCATTATTATTATCATTATTATTATTATTATTACAAAAGTTTAAAATTTAATTTGAAAAAATTAAATGTTGCTAATAATAGCAACTAATAATAATAATAATTATTATTATTATTATTACTACTGCTGTAACAAAAGAACAACAAAGCAAAAATGGAAGTGGAAAAAAATGTTAATCACAACAACAATAATAATAATGTTAGTTTATTTATTTTTATTTTATTCTGTTAGGGACTTTTTTTTTAGACGGATTTAGAGAAAAAAACTAAACTTTGATATTAATATTAATCATAATAATAACAAAATGGAAAATACCGGATAAACATACTAAATACGGTTAAATACTGATGACTTGTATTTATTAGCCACATATTGGTTATAAATAAATAAACAACAATAATAGTAATAACGACAAAAAAAACGCAACAAAGCAAAAAAAAATTAAGTAAAAATAAAACAAATTTTATTATTATTACTAATAACAACGATAATAATAAAAAAAACAGCAACAAAAGTATAACATAAAGAAAGAAATATTAATATACCCAACCCTTGAAACCAAACATTCTTATCAAGAAACGTTGTTTTGCTGTCTGGTGTTTTTGGTTTTTTTTTTTTTTTTTCAAAAAAGCATATTGTTTTCTGAGTTGTGTAGATATTGTGGCTTAAATGTAACTGATTCTATCCGCGTATTAGGTGCTATGAGATGGAGCGGCGTCTGAAGACTCCAGACCTCTTTAAGTTTCCTTATTTTGAGGCTATTTGTTGGTATGTAGCAAAGAATGTGCTGGAGACTCTCAAAGGTACGTCATCTTAAATCACTCAGCATGTCAATACAGAGCACTTAAATAACTGGCATGCTGCCACAACGGTCCCGGGTGTCCCTCCTAATCAACTGTTTATTGTCTGTCATCAGAATCCCGAGAAGATAACTGCCTGCCTCCAGAATACCTGATCAAGGGAGTGAAAGCTTTGATTACTGCACTGAGGAACTGGCTAAAGAGAGAGGTGAAGGAAATAGTGGCTTACCACACCAGATCTGTCAAATCAGATCTTGAGATTAAATGCAAACTTAAAATTAACTCTAAAACCACCTGCAATCATCCCATTATACATTATAATCCCTGTTGGAATAATGAGGGCAAGGGGCGTCCCACAGGGGCCGATATCTGGTGTCAGTGGTTCTGGGTGGGAACCTGAGGTTTGCTCTGTGGCACAAACCCCTTATTGTCTGCCATGTGTGCTCATCTTCCGCAGGTCACAGAGCCAGCCAGCGAGGTCCCTGACCATATCAGACCCAACCATCTCATTAAAATGCTCACCAAGGAAATCCAGCACCTTGAGGTAAGCCAGACTGCTTGAAACTTGCTTGCTTGGACAGTCACGTCTAAAAGAATGCATTTACAGTTTTAATGTTGTAGGTTATATACTTTTTTTTTTTTTTTTTTAAATAGAGGTTCTACAGAAAGGCATTAAAAAAACACAACAACACCAGAAAAATAAATGATAAAAAAGCAAAAAGAGCTAAAATGAAAAACTATTTAAAAACAAGAAATCAGAAGGATATTATTATTATTATTATTTTTTTTTTTACTTTGATTTTAGTTCTGTTGCTGCTTTTATTATATATGGAAGCCCGTTTCCGCCACTAAATAAAAAAATATAATTCTGTAAGTCATAATAATGAGAAACTTTCTCGAATTAATGACTTATTTTCTCATAATAATGAGAAACTTTCTCGAATTAATGACTTATTTTCTCATAATAATGAGAAACTTTCTCGAATTAATGACTTATTTTCTCATAATAATGAGAAACTTTCTCGAATTAATGACTTATTTTCTCATAATAATGAGAAACTTTCTCGAATTAATGACTTATTTTCTCATAATAATGAGAAACTTTCTCGAATTAATGACTTATTTTCTCATAATAATGAGAAACTTTCTCGAATTAATGACTTATTTTCTCATAATAATGAGAAACTTTCTCGAATTAATGACTTATTTTCTCATAATAATGAGAAACTTTCTCGAATTAATGACTTATTTTCTCATAATAATGAGAAACTTTCTCGAATTAATGACTTATTTTCTCATAATAATGAGAAACTTTCTCGAATTAATGACTTATTTTCTCATAATAATGAGAAACTTTCTCGAATTAATGACTTATTTTCTCATAATAATGAGAAACTTTCTCGAATTAATGACTTATTTTCTCATAATAATGACTTAGTTTCTCATTATTATGACTTACAGAATTATATTTTTTTATTTAGTGGCGGAAACGGGCTTCCATAATTATATGATAATATGAATAAGAACATTTAAAATTGCTCATGCTCATTTCCCATATTTTTATTTTAGATTATCTTTGCCATCAGCTAACATTCATTTACGGTAAATTTTTTTAAATACTACTACTAATATTATTCAATATATCATATCCATTTTTCATGCCTAAATTAACTTGTAGTGTTTAAAATGACCGATTTTATGTTTGTATTTTATTTTTAATTTATTAAGACAAAATAGCATACAATTGTAATATCAGTAATTTATCAGTTAAAATAATCAGTGAAAATAGTTTACTAATTGAAATGAATAAATACAAATGAAAGCGAAAAATTCCAAATGAATTTTTTTTTTTTTGTAGTTAGTATTACTATTCATTAAATTCTAACGAATATAGCAAACCCAAGAAATCTAAAATGTAAAGTGTAAAATGGTCTTAATATGAATCCATTTTTGTAGTGTAGTCTTAAGTGTTACAGTTCTTTGGAGATGAAAAAGTTCTCAATGCTACATTATTAACTGATATTGTAGTTGTTGTATTTGAACTCACAATGCTGTTTCAAACACCCAAGGATTATCAGAATGGGAACTGTGGAAGCAAGCTAATGAAATCTCATGGAATCTCTGCGTGTCCTTCCACGAGGTCGGCACACGAGAGAGGTTCTCACGCACGCAGGACAGCCAGACGTCTTCGTGACCACCACCATCATCACCATCATCACTCTCACGGCCCTAAAGCTCCTTCTAACCTCGACATCTTCGAGCAGCACACCCAGGAAGTCTTAAAAAAACTTGAAATGGGTACTTATGAGGAGGTAAGTGGAATTAATGAATACCGTAAATGCCATTCAGGCTAATCTATAGAGAATCGTCTAAAAAACGATGGTCTTTTAGGATGCCTCCTTTAACCTAACGGTCAATGGCAAGTTCAACAAGGTCTCCACAGCCTCAGCTGCTGTGGTGGAGCGGAGCTTGGACAACAAACTGCGTCTGGTGCTGTGCAATGGACGTATAGTCAGGTAAACCACATTAACCTATGAAGATTATCACGCATTAATCAGGAGCTGCAGTAAATGTAGCTTATGAATCACCACATTGCCAAATACAAATGACACATACAGGCCTTGATGACACTTATTGTTAAATTTAGAAGGATTATGCGAGGTAATGGGTATTATGCGTTTTTTTGGCTTATGTTGGTCATGTAATTTTGGGAACATGTCCTTTTTCCCCATCTGATTGTCCACGCAGCGATAACAGGCAGCATGCTGGAGAAAAAAGACCAAGGATAAAAGAAGACGAAGGCTCCAGAGATGTGAAGATGGATTTACTCAAGATTAAACTAGTATCTAAAGTGGAAGAACAGGAAGTGGATATTGAAATGAAAGAGAGAGATCAGCATCATGTAGCCAGAGAAGTGAATTCCTTTGCAGGTACCATCAAAAGTCTTAGATTTAGCACTGCAGTTGACTTTCTCCATATATAATACACAAAATAAATAAATACAAAAATACATAAATATTTTTTAAAGTAAATATTATGTGCAATATTTATTTATTTATTTATTTATTTTAGCCTTTATTTATCCTTTTATGCAATTGTGTGCTCTAGTCACTAGATATTTGCATAAAACCACGTTTCAACTGTCTGTATTGCTTATTTTCTCAGCTAGTGTATAAAAAATAATTAAAAAAAAATGTCCCTGCCCGTAATAGTGAGATTTTTTTTCACAGATCTTAATAAGCAAGAGAGTTCAGATCTCAGGAACAGAGAATCGGTACTTTCAGACATCTCATCGGACTCTGAATCAGATGAGGACTACACTACACGGGTATGTTGCCATTTCCCTTTGTGCACAGGAAGCGCATAGAGTCCTAGTTTAGGTTTAATCCTCTTTTCCTGTCCATCCAGAAAAAGAACTGCTCTGAGGGAGAATCTGAAAGCTCTTCAGAGGAAGAGGAAGATGAAAAGATTAGGATGAGTGGAGACCACCAAAGTAAGACCAAAAGTTGCTCCAGCTACATGACGGATACGCATCGATCCAGGCAAAAGCTTGACCCTTTTGAAAAATGTTGTAAAAGGTGAGGGCTGACGTGCTGGGGAACAATTTAGGGTTGTGTGTGTTTTTGAAATCCAATGGTTTAAAACTAAATCGCATTTGCAGTGAATACGCTACCTCGCCAAGCACAGAAGAGGATGCTATCCAGGGAATGCTGTCTATGGCAGGACTGTTGTATTCTCACCCATCAGAAGATCCCAGCAGTTCACAAGAATCCTGGTGGTCTCGAACCACCCATCCCTCCCCTGACTACAGTAAGAGTTCATGAGAGTTTTTCTTATAAAATATTATTTTGATGAACCACTGCATCTGTTCTTTTTCCATTCTCAGGTAGAAAGGAGGCTGCATCAGGAGAGGAGAACCAGGATTCAGACAGCAATTCATCACAGGTAAACTCAGTTCTTCTGTAAACCCAATCCTTATCTGCCATATGTTATAGGAGAGATTATGCAATTTTGTAATTTATTTAAATTGATATATATTTTTGCATTTACTCCAATGGCCAATGTTTCGTTTCAGTCTTTTTGTATTGTTATCTTTAGGAGGGCTTTCGGGAGCATGATTCAAAAGGAGGATGTCCCGCCAAACTCAAGCATAGGATCCAGGAACACAAGAACTTCATGGACAGCCAGGGCAGCGGCAGCAACAGCAGCAGTGAAGCTTGGAGCAGTCGCACACACTTCCCAGGCCACGGGGAAATCCCCACTTTGGCCTATCAATACTGTGAAACATCCCTATCGCCACCTCTGCACCCATCCAAGAGGCCTGCTTCAAATCCCCCACCAATCAGCAATCAGGCCACCAAAGGTACAGCATCACCATTTTTTTCTGCACATTAAACATTTGAACTCGAAACCTGCATGTTTTACTGTTAAGATGCTAGTAAATCTTGTTTAGGTTTTGTATGTTTGTTGTTTTTATTTATTCATGTTATTTATTTGTTTTTGCTTTTATTTTTACATGTATTTTTTGTTTTTCTTTTGTTTACTTGTTTGTTTGTTTATTGTTGTATCATTGTTTTACTTTTTATTTTTAATTTATTTGGTTTTTATTTGGTTTTGCATTTGTTTGTTTTATTTTTGTTCAGATTTTTATTTCTATTTGTTTGTTTTTGTTTATAAATATATATAGTAAATTATTATAAAATTAGCATTTTATAAATTTTATTTATTTATATTTTTTACTTAAACCTTTTTTTTTTTTTTGCCTTTCTCTTTCTTGTAGGTAAACGTCCTAAGAAAGGTATGGCCACAGCGAAGCAGCGATTGGGCAAGATTCTCAAATTGAGCAGACACAAACCTTTCTTTGTGTAGTTCCAGTGATGGCAGTCAGATTGCAGAAGATTGGGATGCTGAGTGTGCATGTTAAAGGTGATGGGGTATAAAGTGTGTTTGATTCATCACACTGGCTCAAAAGCTTTGGATTAGTCTGAATAACCACTTCACCCAACATGTTTTGCTAATATGCATCCAAAGTAACAAGGCGACTGAAAGGAAATAAGACTGAAAACATCACTTTTGAAGGCTTTCGGTTCTCAACGATGGCATTCAAAATCAGGTTTACTCTACAAAAGCGAAGACTAGCATGTTGCCAGGCTGCTTCCTAAACTAAACTAAATAATAACTCAAATAAACTAAAAACGCGTCACTTCGAGGATGTGCATCTTAAGTTAGACGGCAATTGAGTGATGAACTGATTTCATAAAGGTGCTTTACTTTTTTGGTCTGCTCATTTTGTGATTGCAACCAACTTTTCCTAGCAAATTACTCCAGTGAAGAAAAATTGCATTAATGCCTCAAGACAAAATTCACCCAGGATGACTGGTTGAACTACCTGTCAATCAAAATGTAATCACATTTTGAGAGAAATTAAAGACATTTTTTATTTTTGTCAACATTTGTGTTCATCCTGTCATTGTAAATCTCTGGCTAAGGAGCACTGGGTAGTTTAGCTATAGTTGGTCTTCTGTTGCCGCCTAGTGGGCATCCGGAGACTGACTTTAAATGGTGCTCGAAGGTATCATTCAAATGAGGCAAGAGACATTTTCCCTTAATTTATTTCTTTATCTTGGTGCTTTATTTTTATTTTCTATACTGTTATTAAATTACGTATTTATTACTGATGAAAGAGAACAATTTATTTCATTGAGCATTTAGAAGGTTTGCTGTTCTTTGGGGTCTTAATATGCATCCGTTTTGAAACCTGTTTAAAATATTTGTGCAAAGGCTTAGCTGTTTTTCAAAATTTCATCCATATCTGTATTGCATTGTGGGTAAGAACATACGTGTCGTGTAATAAGAAGCTAATATATAATCAAAACCCAAATTGTCCCATTATGTTATAATCTTTCATTTTTACCTCAGTGTATTTGAGAAAAAAAAAGAAAAGAAAAAAAAGACATTGTGAATTTGTACTCAACCAGCAAAGTCACCACCTGTTATTTGGCTGTTTTTACTGATATTCTAAGGATCTGGTTTCAGAAACATGTTGTTTCCATAAGTATAAAGTTCAGCTGCCTCATCAAATTCTGAAGCAGTGAAATACTGTTTGAACTGGTGCTGTGTATAGTGAGAAAACGAGACATTTAAGATGGCCAAGGAGCGTGGGAGAATTTTTACCTTTTTTACGTTGAAATGTATTTGGCTACTTGTCTTTTTTTACAAAGAGTCGACAAGAATATTTATTTTTGTATTGTATCAACACCATTGTATTGAAATATGGCGATAACCTCGCGTTTTGTAAGATATGTGTGATTTTGAGGTAGTTTACTCTGGTTTGAAAGACCTCAGGTATTTGTTTGTGCTCAAGATTTTGGATTCCTTTTGATGAATGCCAAATAATGTAATCATAAAAGTCCGGTCTTGCTTTGAAATTTTGGTGTCCCGGCAGTAAAAAGAGCCGTATTAACTAACCTAATATAACATTTCTTAGTAAATATCCCCGTGAAAGAAAATTGTTCTTTTGTATTCCAGATTTGTTAAATGTTCTTTAAAACATTTACAGCAACTCCAACATAATCTACAAAGCTCTTTGAGCAATAACGCACATTCCATAAGCTTCCAGGAACTTCTATGACGGATTTCATTGACTCAAATGACTCGTTGAGGTACAAGTACAGCAGCTCAGGGCTCACATACGGACTGTTTTCTGATGGACAGCTTTGATACTAACTAATCAAAGGGCTTCAGTCAACCCAAAGGTGCTCAGAATTGAACAGATCATTACAACCAGCACAGTATTGTTACTGTATGTCATCTTCCAAAGGTTTTTTTATGATGGTTTATTGTGGACTAAGATACTCGAGCATTGTGTTTCGATCCATTTCAAAGACAAAAACCACAATGCCATTAATGTAGCACCTGTTGCTTTTCTCCTTGATAAGATTCTAGTTTATGTTGCTTTGTCTGATTGGGATTTGGGCCAAAGTGCACATGTATTGCATTCAGAACTTTGAGATGTTTTTTTTGTTTGGGGGATTGGAGGAGCTTCTGTGTCTGTCAAAAAAATGCTGCACTGCATAGTGTCCTGCATTAGCAAGCTATGTTACACTACACTCTGAGTTTTTTATTTTATTTTATTATTGTTACTGTTTTAACACAATAAATATCTAAATGTGCTTGATAAAAGTCAAAAACTTTGCTGGCCTGCAGGCAGGGTTTGTACCATGTCCCAGTACTTGTACAGTATTTATTTGGCATTCTTTGTTGTGTTTTCAATTTTCTGGTCTTGCAATCGGTTACGTGTTTGTTTATGGAGTATCCTCTCACATTTTCAATGCATTCAAATGTTTGAAATTTTTATATGGTTGTATAATTTTGTGACGCTGTAATCCACAGCTAAGGCTTTTGAAATTGGGATATTCCATTGTACAATGTGGCCTGTGCATATTAAAAATTCTACGAGTGAATATGACATTTTCTGTATTTTTTGTTAACAATGATTCAAAAAGACTTTGCTTTCCAGTTGCATGAGATTATTAAAACACAATGTCATCAATAATATTCATCTCATTATCTGGGGCTTCAAATAGACCATGAGAACTGTTTAGCAGAGGAGATACTGAAAAATAGTGTAACATTGTCTTTTATAATAGTTCATTTTATTAGTTATAAGTTTATTTATATAACACTTAAGTGTAGTAAAATTAACCGTTAACTGATTATGACTATAATTAGCAATTAATTAGTTCTAAATAATCATGATAATTAGTAAACTGGTTTTGCACATCTTTTGGCACCTTTTGATTCATTGTTTATATATATATATATATAACAAAATATTTACATATTTTACATTTTATATATCTATATATATATATATATATATAATTATTTTCTGTCACCGTTTTTGTGATCTTTTTTTTAATTCAACACATTTACATTTTTAGGGCTGGAAGTTTTATTCCTCCATAATTTTTGTGTTTTATATTTAGAAGGCATTGCTGAAGTACAAACTGCATTCAGTGTAAGTTCACATTCACGTTTTAAATTGTAAAAAGTTTTTAGAACAATCATTTTTATATATATATATATATATATATATCCCTAAAACAAACATAAATGGGTGTTCCATAAAAGTGTTTTAGGTTATTTGGAGAGAAAAATGGAATCCGATCGTAATTGGCAATCCGTTCACACAGGAACAGGTGTGCGTTAGCATGTGCGTGAAGTCTCCATCTCTTTGCACCATTTGTGCGCATGGGAATCATCATTTTTATATATATATATATATATATATCCCTAAAACAAACATAAATGGGTGTTCCATAAAAGTGTTTTAGGTTATTTGGAGAGAAAAATGGAATCCGATCGTAATTGGCAATCCGTTCACACAGGAACAGGTGTGCGTTAGCATGTGCGTGAAGTCTCCATCTCTTTGCACCATTTGTGCGCATGGGAATGGAGGAGCGTCCGCGCGTTATCATAATATGTTGCGTAGTCGCGAGCTGGTGCGCGAGCTCAATAAGCACCGCACTGGGTGCGCGCGCGCGTGCTGTGACAGTCGCCATTTTATTTTGAAAAATCCAAACCGAACCGAGGGAGAAAGCGACCTTTTATCCGTCAAGATTGGAACGAAGAAATGCGACGAAAATGATCATGCGCACGTAATTTTTTCCAGAATCGAGGTAACGCGTCTTCTCGCCGCGACAGGTTTTTCGGTACAATCTAACACATCCCTGAAGTTATGAATTGGTTATCATATGTTGTCTGCTCCGCAAATTTAACGTTAGCTCGTTAGCGTGTAGCTAACCTTGCTGTTTTTAACGACCAATAACTCTTAAAACCCCAACCGACCCTGCGAGTACTGCTACGATTACCCTTAACGGCCCGTAACAGCTCGGTGGATGCAATAATTAATATGAATTCTGAAAACTTTCTAATTATTACTTAATGCTCGTGGCTACATGGCCACAGCTGGAGTGATTTAACGTTAGACACCGAGTTTGCTGCTTTGCTCGGTTTCTCCAACCATATAAATGTTGATTGAGGCCCAGACGACAGTAGTGTAGCTGTTTGCAACCTGCATGGCTGCTAATGTTCACTAACACTGCTTTACTTTCACCTACGTGTGTACTAATAGTTTTTACTCGAATATCAGTGCGTTTAATGCGCATTTACACATAAGTAACATGTTGGTTGCCAGAGATTATCCATATTCATGCTAGAACTGTATGATATGGAAGCGTTTGCCTGCATTTTACTCGAGCTTATAGCGGCGTGAAGATGCACCAAAACTCTACGTTTCTAATATTAATGCCCAAAACAAACCAGCAGGCTGGTTCCTGTCAGCTAGATGCTCCGGATGAGCGTCGCGCAGCTCTCGGCAGCAGGCTAGTGTCGTCACCGTTCGAAACAATGAGGTTTAGGCTGTTAGCCAGCTCTGAATTAGCTCGGCTGCTGTTAAATCTGACAGAACTGGCTATTGAAAGGACAACGGGAGTTAATTTCGAGGTAATGCAGTAGATTAAGTGTTAAAATTGTATCTGAAGAGGCGTTTCAAATCATAATTAGGTAGATGTTAATAAATAAGGAGCAACTTGGATGGAAGATGAGTTAGCTGTAGGAATGCTAACATGCTAACGGTGTTGTCCACAGCTAAAATGGGAGTGTTTGATCGTTTTAAGTCGAACTGTTGTTGTTAGGAGTCGTTTCGTGAAAATAACACCAAAGTTACATAGTAGTAATAATAATGCAGGTTGATTTCTGCTTAAATTGAACGTTTTCGCCAGTCATACGTGTGGTTTTACGCTACTAGTGTTCGAACCCGAAACTGTAATTGTTTATTATAGCTTAAAACTGCCTTTAAGAGTCATTCAACTAATTATTTTGATTTGATCGTTTAGACTAAATGTTTCAAGAAAGTTGCTTCAGCAGGTAAATGAACACGCCTGCATGTTGTGGAAATCACCTTTGCTCGTATTAAGTTTCAAAACGTCACAATTAAAACATCTGTTTTCTCATAAATGTACTGAATGTAATGTGGCTTTAATGTACCGGCAACCACACGTACTAAAGGTTTATTTTCTCTGTTTGTGCGACCCTTCAACTTTAGTCAAGGCCTGTGTGTGAGAGTCTGAGTGGGTATGACTTCCGGTTTTGCAGCTGTACCGTTCAGGTCCCCTCAGCGAGTTAAAACAAAGTGACTTACATTATGGAACTGGAGAGTTGTACCCTTTTTAAGATCTAAATTGGTACAATTTACTGTTACATTGTAGTGTTTTATTGAATTAAGTTTTAGTGTGTTTAATGTTTTTAAAGGGACAGTTCACCCAAAAATGAAAAATGTAATTTACTCTCCCTCATGTCGTTCCAAACCTGTATAGGTGCGTCCTATTCAGTATACATAAGCTTGCATGCCATTTTTAGTAGAAATGGTGTAATAAGTGTTTACGCTTAAAAAGTGTGGAGTGTTGGATACTTCATGCACTCAACTGTCGGAGCGTTCCTTATGTAGGGAAATTTTGGCTATGGTTTCTAATGACTTCAATGATATGGACAAAAAAAAAATTTGTATTCCATTGTAGAAAGGAAGGTTTGGAACGAGTAAATAATGACATAATTTTTATTTTTGGGACAAATTAATTATCACTTAAAAGTGTGTTATGGAAATCTTGGATGTTTTATGTGCCAATGGAAAATTTACTGTGTTGTCACTTGAATTTGCCCTTGCTAATTGATTTTAATCGTTGTTTGTCCAGATGTTACACTAAGAATTACACTGAAGGACGTTACTTGGAATCAGCATCCACCCAGAGACTTGGCTTGTTGGACACCGGACACTTTTCACCCCTTTTGGGGGGGGGGGGCTGACAGAAGTAACCTATCACTGAAGTGACTAAAGGGGAATAATGGTGATTTTGCGCCGGGCTCGGCCGCCTGCTTCCGCCCCAACCAGCAATGAATCTTGACTCGCTCTCGCTGGCTTTGTCTCAAATCAGCTACCTGGTGGACAATTTAACTAAGAAAAACTACAGAGCCAGCCAGCAGGAAATACAACATGTGAGTTCATGGTGTTTTGGTGTCATTAAATAGGGTTGGGTAACGAAACCCGGTACCAGTATAGCACCTGTACCTATGTAACCGGTATGTACTAGAACCGAATCAGAACGCAGATTTTGGTGCCTCATTTCGGTGCCATGCCTGAGCTATCGCTTGACATATTTGTCCTCTGGTTCTCCAAAACGGACATAAGAACCGCACGTGAAAAATTATTTCCCGACTGAGAAAATGCACAAAATTGAACTCAAGTCGGAAAGCTCTAATAATACAAATCCAACAAATCTTTGTAGTAATGAGTGTTCATGTTGTTTTCACATTCCGACTTAAAAGCACAACTCAGTAAATGAGAGCATCTGAGGAGTGCGTGAATGCCGTAATTACTCTTGCTCTGATGGCAGCAGGTAGCCTTCCGTTAACTAAGCTAAACATGCTTAAATTAAAATGCCTAAAGCTAAACTTCCATTGTATTCAAATTTCTAAACCTGTTGTCCAACAAAAGAGAACATTATAACCTTTTTACTCCACAACACCAGTCAAATGCTTCCTTTTGTGATCTGATGTTGTTTCTTGTCACAGAATGAGGCAGAAAATGTTCCATAGGCTACTTTTAAAAGAATACATCGATTAGCAATGGATTATAAATATACTTAATTATTATGAAAATACCAGATGGCTTGAATAACATCAATAGACTATATTGTCACAGTCGAGTGTTTGTCGTTGTTTTATCATTCAAAACGTTTATATGTTTTGTTTACTCCGTTAACTTGTAGCTATAATAGCAATGCCTCTGTCCATATAAGGGATTTCCTGAGTTTCGCTACTTCTGTGACTGCATATGTGGATTTTCTGTGCAAGGGCGCCCTCTGGTGTCCAGTATGAATGAAACGGACACGTGCAAATGGCCAATTCATCATGTTTTGGGGATTTTTTTTTATAAAAGTATCGCCGGTATTAAAAAAACAAACAAACGATACCCAACCCTATCATTAAATATGCTTAGTTCTCTAAATTTCATAATTTCATGTAAGTCAGCATTGCTAGTTACATCAAGGAACTGAAGACACTGACAATTTGATGCATCACTTTTCCTCAGATTGTGAATCGTCACGGCCCTGAGGCAGACCGGCATTTATTACGCTGTCTCTTTTCCCATGTGGATTTTAGTGGCGATGGTAAAAGCAGTGGCAAAGATTTCCACCAGGTAATAAATGTAGTTTTTGCTTTGAAAATTGACTTTTTATCAAAAATGGTAGTTTATTAGTTTCAGAATTAGTTTTAACGTTTTATTACCCATCTCTTTTTTGCTTCAGACACAATTTCTGATCCAGGAGTGTGTGTGTCTTATTACGAAACCAAATTTTATTTCAACGCTTTGCTACGCCATTGACAATCCCCTGCACTATCA